ATCAAGCGCTGCTTTTCTCTGGCTCACTCAATGGGCAGGGAGGGGGAATTAGAAATTACATTTTTTTCCCTGATCCCTTTTTATCCTGTGGTAGTTTAAGCTCCCAAGTTGTGGTGGCAGTGGAGGGAAGCCTATGCTTGAGTTTTCCTGAGGGTTTTGTGCCGGGCTGGGGTGTTATGAGTTGGGACTAGCAGGTAATGGGTGCTGCATGTGGCCCCATCCTTAACTCCCAGTGAGTCCAGCGATCATTTCACACTACGATGTTTTCCAGATGAGCACACATAAACAGCTGGTCTTCAGCAGCTGGGCTGAGGTAGCTTTTGCCTACACAGATAAATGTTTTTCATTGCAGACTTGTGTAGCAAGAGTCAGGAACAGCAAGTGTATTCTTTGGGAGTTGCTACACTGTGCAGTGTGAGACTTAACAGGTTTTTTTGTTCTAATTAGATATATAGGAATGCAAAATTGTCAAAAGAGGTCAACACCTATAAGGCTCACCTTTTACCATCACCTACCTGGTCATCATGTAGCCAAATCAGTGATAACAGCTCGTTTCTGCTCTTACAGTAGGAATTCAGGCAAGACTGCAGCAAACCCCACTGTGGTGGCATTGCTGGCAACTGTCTGCTTTTACTGGCTGAGCTCAAAACTTCTGCTGCTTCTTAAGCATTTCATGCTCTCACTTGCCTGTAGTAGTACCATGCCACTCTATGTGCCTGAATTGAGCCAATAGAAATGACAGAGGTATAAATGGATAGATATTTCACATAGGCTTCACAAGTCAGTAATCTGTTGAGGTTTTTTTTTCAGTATTTTTCCCTTTTATGGGAGGCCCTGACAGAAAAGATCTGATAGTGATTTTCTGTCCCTTTCCTCCTGCTCTGTTAAAGGGAATGGTTTCATATCTCTGCTGTGCAATGGCAGTAATGTTTATTCCTTCCGACTCATGTAATAATGTTTTATAAAGATTTCATTTTAGTGTGTCTGTGAATATGCACAGGGCTGAGATTTCTTTTCTGCAGAGAACCATTCCTCTTCTCGTGGTTTACATTGTATCTTGATTAGGTTCTGCTTTGGTTTTCCTCCTTAAAAGTAGACTTTCCGTTTCTTTTCCTCGGATGTTCTGCAGCTGTATCACCAGAACAAGGCAGAGGTCCATCTTCCCCTGTTACCCCACCTCTACCGCTGTGCTGTTGAACACCAGCTGGTAGCACTTATAAACCTGTACAATTTCTTTTGATGCAAAGTTTTGCCTAGTGATTGAAAATATAGCACATCCACCTAAAGCAATGGCCACGTGTGGATGACAACAGGCCACTCTTTGCTCTGTGTCCTGATGTGTTCTGTTGAAAGCATCAAGGCTTTGGCACCAATACATGTTTCCAGGCTAAAGCTGGCTTCAATCTGGTCAGCACAACCCTCTGACATGTCTGTCCCCAGTCACCCATCTTGATGTGCCCATAGGTTGAATCAGCGTGTCCTGGTTTCGGCTGGGATAGAGTTAATTTTCTTCCTAGTAGCTGGTACAGTGCTGTGTTTTGGATTTAGTATGAGAATAATGTTGATAACACACCGATGTTTTAGTTGTTGCTAAGAAGTGCTTACACTAGTCAAGGACTTTTCAGCTTCTCATGCCCTGCCAGCGAGAAGCTGGGAGGGGGCACAGCCAGGACAGCTGACCCCAACTGGCCAAAGGGATATTCCATACCATGTGACGTCATGCTCAGTACATCAACTGGGGAAAGCTGGCCGGGGGGGCAGTGACCACTGCTTGGGGACTGGCTGGGCATTGGTCAGCAGGTGGTGAGCAATTGCATTGTGCATCACTTGTTTTGTATATTCTTTTGTCATTATTATTATTATTATTGTTGTTGTTGTTGTTGTTATTATTTTCCTTTCCTTTCCTTTTCTGTCCTATTAAACTGTCTTTATCTCAACCTGCGAATTTTGCTTTTTTTTTCCCGATTCTCTCCCCCATCCCACTGTGGGGGGCAGGGAGTGAGCGAACAGCTGTGTGGGCTTTAGCTGCCTGCCGGGTTAAACCACACCACAGCTACAACTGGAGCCTAGAGCAGGAAGAGGTGATCAATGCCCAACTTGCTCCACAACACTAAATCATGGGACTCTGTTCCCACTCTGCTCCTTAAATGCCAGCGGGAGGTGAGTTTGTGTCTAAAAATCTGACACGGGGTACCTGAAATTGGGCACTCAGAAACTATTGCACCCCAAACTTGAGTCTGTCTTCAACAGTTCAGGCGTAGGTCTTTCCGTCTTTCAGGCTTGCCCCCCCCCCCGAAGGATAACATCTGCTCCCACCTGAGAAGATTTTTGTATGCAAAAAGCAGTGTTTATTGTTGCAAGCCAAATATCTCAAAGCAGGACTTGCCTTTTTAGATTAGCAGTAGTAGGCTTTTATTTCCAAATATTTTTGGGATTCCTGGCTAGCCTTCCCATTCCAAGAGCACAATCTTATATCCACAGATCTCGTATTTGCCAGTGGTAGCACTCAGCTATTTAATGGGCTGTGGTCAGAAACCAGTTGATAGAACTCCAAGTTGTACCAGCTGGCCTCAAAATTGGGCTGGCATAATTGCAGACTAATGTTGAGATAACTGCTCAGGATAAGGATCTCTTCTTTTTTATGAAATAGATAGGAGCCCCTGACAATAACAACAATCCTCAGTATAAACCTCACTCCCTGTTAACCACAAAGCCCATGTCACCATAAATTCACTTAAGATGCAAAACCCTAACATCTGGCAACTGTATGAGTAGACCAGCATTGAGTGCTGCTATATTTTTGTCTTTTTAATACTTACTGACAGCCCTACCTCTCCAGTTACTTTGCAGCCATCTGGAAGATCATGAAAAGGTATTTGATTTAGCTTTGTCCTGTAAGACAACGCTAGCCGGCTCAGCCTACATGTGTTGAGTGTAGTGATAGGCAGTTTAAGAGTTGCGGAGGAGTTAACTTGCTTGGTTTTTGGCTGTGTGATGCCCTTTTTAGCCCAGACTGCAGAGCTGTGCAGGGGTAAGGGGACCTCAGTGTTCAGCAATACAAGGGGCTCAGGAATGGTCATGCTGCAGGGGATTGAAGACCCCAGGGGCAGCAGGGGTGAAGGAGATGGTTATTTGCACTGGGATGCAAGGGACGAAGGGGGACAGGGTCTTTGCATGGTCCCTGCTCATCCAGACTCAGGCCGGGACTTGGAGGGGGATGTCATTTCAGCCATCTTGTACTAATAGTGCTGCTGCCACTGTGTGCTTGCTGCTGGGGTCCAGAGCCAAAGCTTCATCCTGGAGCCATGCAGGAGGACCCTCCGGCAAGGGCAGGGCGCTCAAGCCACAGTCCAGTGCTTCACACAGTCCATGGCAGCAAGGGCAAACAAGCAGAGTAAGGACAGATGGACACAGCAGCTGCCATGCAGGATCAGGCCTACTGCCCTGACACGTTGGAAAAAGAATCAGAACCATTGCCTTTATGGCTATCACAACATACTCCAGTTGTCATGATTCATCTCCCACCTTTTGCATCAAAATTATTTTATTTGCTCTTACTGGAGCTTTTAAATTGCATTTCCAAAATTCATGGTATGGTGAGACATATTAGAAGAAATAACATTTCCTTTTCTGTTTCATACAGGCTCAATTGCAAAATAGCACAAAATTGAAAAACAAGTGGTTTCAGGGGAACGTGTCACACATGCTGCGTAAGCAGAGACTGCACCGGACAAGGGCCCGGTGCAGAGGGATATGAGATGAAGAGCGACTCGAGGGTGATCAGCACCTTTCCTCATCACTGTCTTGCATTGCTACGTTTAACTATTTGAGATTCAACCATGTAATTGTGTTCTAATTTCTTGGTCATATTAAATACACTTCTAAAGGAAAATAGCCCACCAGTAAAACCCATCCAGTGTGGTCCTTTGCCACATGTCTAGTTGTAATGTAATTAGTCACATACCTAAATAATTTAGTTATATTTATTGTATACTTAGAACATGAAATTTAGAAGAAATACTGAGTCACAATCTGTTGGATGGGGTGGGGATGAGATGCTTTCAGCCTGCCTTTAGCCATCTGCCTCTATCATCATTGGAATGAGGAAAAGGCACTTTTAGAGCAATTCATCCCATTCAAAATAAGCCTTTAAAATGCTTTTTAAATGTAAAATATTTTCTCTGTGGAAGTTTCACTGACATGCATTTTTCAGAATATTGCAATTACCTGGGTTGTAGGCCAGAAGGGAACACAGAAGCTCTTTGCACAATCTTAACAGGCCAGGTACAGGCAGTACCACACAAGCTTCCCATAGAAGTGGCCTCTGAGAATGAGGAGGAGATATCTATAGCTACTTCAAATTCATAATCACTCATTTTAAGGCCAAGTGGGGTCATTAAGTTATCAAGCCTTGCCTTGTGCATGACACAGGCTGCAGCATTTTCTGTATTCTTAAGTAGGACGAGGACTTTCACATTGACAACTGTGTAAGGTTTTTATTCCTTGTTTTCTTTAATCCTCCATGATTTGTTCCATTCTGCAGCCCT